CAAAAATAAATAAATGTTGAAAAAAAAAATTAAAAAAAAAAAAGAAAAAAAAATTTGACTACATGTGAGTTTTAATATACCATTTATCAAAAATAATATAAGAAATTTAAGTGAAATCAAAAAAAATACACTAACCTTGATGGGTAAGGTCTTGACGTGTGGTTTTTTTTTAAGTGTTGACTTGTTGACATCTTATCACATTCATTATCACTGTCAACTTTTTTTAGTTCTAATTAACGTAAGTATTATATTAGTGTCAGGTGTACAATATAGTGATTCAACAACTCTATATATTACTCAGTGATCATCATGATAAATGTACTCTTTAATCCCCATCGCCTATTTCACCCATCCCCCACCCACCTCCCCTCTGGTAACCAAGTTCTCTGTATTTCAGAATCTGGTTTTTGTCTGCCTATTTTTTCTTTGTTTTGCTTCTTAAATTGCATATATGAGTGGAGTCATGTGGTATTTGTCTTTCTCTGACTTATTTCACTCAGCATTATACTCTCTAGATCCATCCATATTGTTGCAAATGGCAAGATTTCACTCTTTTTTATGGCTAAGCCACTGAGGACTTTACTTACTGCCAAATAGCCTTATCCCTGGAACTCACCCATGGCTTAGGGAGAACAGGGAGATTTTCAAAGAAAAAGGCAGAACTAGCCTCCCTATGGGACCACGAAGTTGTCTAAGTTCCTGGCACTGTGGCAGCATGAGTGTGTCCCCATGTCAGGGACTGAGATTGCTTTAAGCCTCTTTCACCGGGCACTGTTAAGCCTTCAAAGAGACACTCACACAGTGTAAGGGCATCAGCAGCCTGCCCCTAGATCTGTCCCTACTACCATCTAGCTGATACTGATGCTCTGTACTCTAAAGTCCTCATCTCAGCAAAGGAGAGCATTTGGCCAGATGGCATCTTGTAGCCTGTGGTCTGTGAGAGTTTTCCAGTGCCTGGCTCTCAGGCTAAACTTAAATTCCCCAACACAAATGCAACTGGTGAAACCACAGGGCCACACCCTCAGCAGGGTCCCTCTTCTTCCTCTTTGGAAGAGGGACACACAAATGTCACCCCTAAGACAGGACCTTGCTTCCATGCTGGCCCAAAAGGGCACTCATTTGTGCATTCACTCACTCCATCAGTAATCAGTACTGAGCATGTACTTTGTGCCATGCCTGGGGTAGGCACTGAAGCTACAGAGATGACCCAGATGAGTCCCTTATTCTCATGGAGCTTGTAATCTAGTGGAGAAACCACACAACAAAGAAGCAAGCATGTGTGTGTAGGTGTAGGTTATTCCAAATTGTGGTAAGTGCCATGAGTAGGATACTGTATGGGATCCTATAGAGCGCCCAACTCTGTCAGGTAGTGTTACTTATGCTGAGGATAAAAAAGAGTGACCCGAGTGCCTTCACAGGTACAGGGTCTGTTTTGGGGGCGATGACAGAGGTGATGACTGCACATCATTGTGAATGTACTAAATGCCACTGAGTTGTATACTTTAAATTGGTTAATTTTATGTTACATAGATTTCACCTAAATAAAAGTAGATAATTTTTTTAAAGAGAGAGGGAAAAGAGCCACACATGCAAAGAGTTGGGGGAAAGCATCCAGACCAGGGAACAGCATGCACAAAGGCTCTGAAGCAAATTCACGTGCACAGAACTGGCAAAAGGCCAGTGTGTTGGGAGGGTGATGATCAAGTTGCAGACTGATGGCAGCAGAAAGGAGAGGTAGCCTGGGCTCAGGGCAAGGTCTGATGTCCCTGAGAGATTCTAATCTCACGGAATACCAGAACTGGGAAGAGCCTTAGAAATCAGTTCTGCTCACATGTTGTTTGGGATTGAGGATGTGAAGGCTGAGGGAGATGACGTGATTTCTTCAAGCTCACATAGATGGTTTTATGTGTCCCAGATACATGTTTATGAGACACATCCCATTCCCTGAAGTCGGGATTCCTTACAAAGGTGGATGAGCTGTATTCAATATCATAGAGGAAATAAGTGGTTTGGTCTCCTTTTATTTTGTCCCCAGGCGATGAGGAGCTGGTGCGGGAGGTACTGCTTGATGCGGTGGTGACGGCCCCCATGGAAGCCTACTGGACAGCGATGGCTCTCAACACCTCTGAGTATGTCAGTCCAGGGTGGGGCTGAGGGTTCTGTGGAGCAAAGCAGCTCCAGCCCCTAGGATTCCCTTGACTGAGTCAGGGTCCCTCCCACTTCCTGGCTGGCAGCTCAGGAGACAACTGGGTCCAAGATGAAGGTGATGACAGTGGGCAGACATGGGAGGAGTGAGAGCTTCCTTCACATGGGCCTCAGTAAAGCAGGGACTTGGCACAGCTTCCACATCCCACATGTGCTGCTGCTCTCCCCTCTGGAAAAGCATCAAATGTGGGTCCCCCTGGCATAGCTCCAGATCCCCCATCCACACTGCAGTAGCCCCGTTCCAAGAACACCTCTCTCTCGGGGTTGGTCTGTAGCTGTGTAAGCCTGTTTGCCAAGTACCCTGGAAAGAGTGGTTCAAGCACATAAGGTCAAGACACTATGAAGTACAAACTTGGCCTTTACCACTGCCTTAGATTTCCTCACTCCCTTTGCTGATATTTATCTTGTGCTATCAGGTTTAGTGAATAGGTAGAAAGAAGAAATGAATGGTGTGTGTGTGAGCACATGTGTGTGTGTGTGTGTGTGTGTGTGTGCTTGTGCACGCATGTGTGTTGGGAGGGTACAAGATATTAATGAGGTTAAGAATACAGTGGACTACACCTTGTTCCTGAATAGGAAGATTCAACGTTAACATCATGAAGATGTCAAACTCCCCTAAGACACTCAAGTTAATTAATGCTCTCCTAAAGAAAAGAATAGAATTTTGTATGAAACAACCACCTATTTTAAAAAGCAAGATGCAGACTACTGTGTACAGTTTGAAGCCATTTCTATAAAAAGGAGGGAAAACAGTATATCTGTACGTGTGTGTGCGCGTGTGCATGTGTGTGTATAAAGTCTATGAAAGTGCAAATAGGAAATAGTTCACTGTATAACTTATAACTGTTTGGTATAATTTTGAACCATGTAAATGTATTACATATACAAAATTAAATGAAGCTAGAAAAAATAAAAAGAATATAGCAGGCCAGGCACTAAGTACTTAGTGTATATTAACCTCATAACCACCCTCCAATGTAGGTACTATCATTATCCCCATTTTACAGATGAGGAAACCAAGGTAAGGTGTGATAAACAACTTGCCCAAGGTCATATGCCTCACAAGTGATGAAGTTGGAGTCAAACCAGGCAGTCAGGGGATTGGATCACTGGTTTGGAGAGAAGGGGCATGATCTTCATCTTTCCAAGTTCAGAGATTAACCAGAGACATTTTTTTAAAAATTTTTCTTTAATGTTTATTTATTTTTGACAGAGAGAGAGACAGAGCATGAGCAGGGGAGGGGCAGAGAGAGAGGGAGACACAGAATTGGAAGCAGGCTCCAGGCTCTGAGCTGTCAGCACAGACCCGACACGGGGCTTGAACTCACAGGCTGTGAGATCATGACCCAAGCTGAAGTTGGACGCTCAACCGACTGAGCCACTCAGGTGCCCCATAGCCAGAGACGTTTTTAATGTTGAGAAACACTGAAGAATAAATATTCTTAACCAAGGTGTATATTAGAAAAGAAGACCTGGAGAATTAATATAAAATAGCATATTAATAAAGCTAGGGTGATAAGTCATATAATCACTCTCATAGATGCAGAAAGATATTTGAACAAATGTTAATATCCATGAATGTTTTTAAAAACTAATCAATAAAGTTAAAATTGACCTAAGCATGAAAGTCAACATCTGAACGGGGCTAGAGGCTCTCTTAACTAAAGACAAGACTAAGATAGGCATTCCCATATCCTTATTACTATTTAACAAGGTCGGAAGGTATTAGTGCAACCAAACAAGAGAATGCACCTAGAAGCAATGAGAAGGGAAAGGGAGAAGTAAATTATCTCTAAGAAGGTGATATGATTATATTTCTGGAAACCCCAGAAGAATTTATAGGAAAGCTAGTAAAACAATAACAGAATTTAGTAAAGTAATAGTTTATAATATGAACATCCAAAAATTAATATCCTTTACCTATAAAAACAAAATTAAACTTAAAATATCATTAGAGAATTCCTATTTAAGAGGGCAAAAAATAAAATGTAATCAAACACCTAGGTATAAACTATAAGAAATATCCCAAAACTTACATAAGGAAAATATTAAAACACTCCTGGAAGACACAAACATAGTCTTGAACAAATGGGGAGGTATTCAGTGTTTTTGGATAGGAAGAATCAACATCACAAAGACATTGATCCTCCTTAGATTAATTTGTAAGTTTAATGCAACCCCAATAAAAACATAATCAGTATTTTTATGGATCCAGATAAACTGATTATAAAGTTTATTTGAAAGAATAGTCAAGAAATTCCTGAAAAAGAAAAGCAACAAAGGAAGTTTTGTGCTCCCAGGGTATTAAAACATGTAATTTATGAAGTGTAGTACTGACACATGAATAGAAAGGCAGACGAAGGGGAAAAAATAGAAAATCCAGAAATTCATCTAAATGCATGTGGAAATTTGGTATATGACAAAGACATCATGTCAAACCAGTGAGAGGAAAAAAATGGACTCTTTAATAACTGATTTGAGAGCCATCTGGAGAATGATAAAATTGTATTATTTCCTCACACCATACACCTGGACAAAGTCCAAATGACTCAGAGATTTAAATGTAAAAAATGAAACCATATAAGTACTAAAAAAAAAAAAAAAAAAAAAAAAAAAAAAAAAAAAGAGCCAGTTGCTCTAAAATCTAAGAATTAGGAAATCTTTCCCAATGATGACTCAAACTTCAGAAACAAGAGAATGACTGATAAATTTAACAACATAAAAATGTTTATTTGGCAACAATAAAAACATAAGCAAGGTGAAAACATAAATGACAAACCAGAAAAATGTTTGCAACTTAAAAAACAAAAGATTACAATCTTTTATTCTCAAAAAATGAAGAACTTCGAAAATAGAGAAGTAAAAGACCAACCACTTTATAGGAAAAATTACCAAGGTATATGGACAGTTCTGAGAATATATACAAATAGCCCTTAAATATATGAGAAAATGGTCAATATAGCTCATAATAAAAGGAATTCGTATTAAACGGTACCAAGATTATATTCATCACTCATCAGATTGATAACCATCTAAGTTTGTTGACATGCACTACCAGCAAGGCTGTGGGGAATCAGGCTCTTGTATATTGTCAATGGGTATACACAATGTTTCAAGGGCTATGGAGAAGAATTTGGCAATATCTAACAAGTTAAAAATGCATTTACACTTTGACTCAGCAAGACCACTTCTAGGAACATATTCCAAAGATACACTAATAAAAATAGGAAAAGATATATACATGAGCTTTTTGTTACAGCTCCATTTAGTGAAAGATAGGAAATAACCTACATCCATCAGCAGGAGCCTAGTTAAATAAACCATGGTAGATCCACATAATGAAATACTATGTGACTGTAAAAAATGAGAAATCTATAAACTGTTATGGAATGGTCTCATCAATGGAGAAAAGTGTGTATAACACCTCCACTATTTATTTAAAAAGAGGAAATTCAAATATATTTTCATAGTTACACATATATAAACATAGACACATGTATGTATGTACATATGCACACATATATGTTTAATGGAACAATAAACAAGCAAACAAAAGTTACTTTAGGGAGAGTGAAAGACAGGCTTATAAATATGCTTTATTTTGCATATTTGACTTTGGAACGATGTAAATGCTTTATATCATTATAAAACAAAATTAAATTTTAAAAAATAAGCTCTAGGGGCGCCTGGATGGCTCAGTCAGCTGAGCGTCCGACTTCAGCTCAGGTCATGATCTCACAGTCCATGAGTTCGAGCCCCGCGTCAGGCTCTGTGCTGACACCTCAGAACCTGGAGCCTGCTTCCAATTCTGTGTCTCCCTCTCTCTCTGCCCCTAACCCACTCATGCTCTGTCTGTCTCTGTCTCAAAAATAAAAACATTAAAAAAATAAAATAAAATAAAAAATAAAAAATAAGCTCTAAAAAATTGAAAACAAAAGAAACAAATAAACCTGTGTATCAAGTTCATGAAATAACTGTACATAGATGAATTCCCTCAACGGACTTAAAAACACACACCATAAACAATAAATAAAATCATAAACCGTGCTCAATAACCACATTGGTAGAAACAACATTGGCACTGTTATTCTCAAACTATATAGATGGGTAGGGCAAATAGTATTGTGTTAATGTCATTAGGAACCAAGGTTTTCAACAAACAAAAAAAGAGATGCAAATTTTTTAAATCAAAGAAGTTAAGATGTACTGCTGAATACGAATTGGAAATATCAATGAACTCACGATTATTTTCTCTGAAAGAAACAAAAAGGATATCCTAGCCCTGTACACTGAAAAGACCAACCTCAGTGAGCACCCCAGACCCAGATTGTGGACTTTCAATGTGCATATTAAGAAATTCTTATTAAAATGAGTCAGCGATCCTTGGAGAAATGTCTGATTTCAGGACAGTGACAAATGTACAAAATGAGCCAGGAGTATCTTGTCATAACCAGAAGCAAGAAGTTACTGAAGACTATAATGAGATTGTGCCAGTGAGACCCCAGAGCCAACTGGAAGCGACTCTCACTGGTTAAAGGTGGAAAAATTAGAGCAGCAAAAGCAATGACAACTACAGTGGATTAAAACATATTAAGTATGCTAAAATCCTGTGTTCACAATGATACTGGGGAGAAAAAAAGACTTTTGGTCATCTTCAGAAGATGTTAGGAAACCAACTCATTATTCTAAACTGGCAAGTAAACAGAGAGACAATTATTTATCCTGGCTCTCCTGTAGAAGCTGCATCTCAGGATAACCAAATATTGATGAGAAGTCTATCTTTAATCAAGTATTTCAGGTACAAATAAAATAAGGAAGAATCCTGTCTTGCAACCTCTGGTCAATGAGAGAGTGTGCGCCTCTTGACAAAGAACACACCACCTATAACTCAAACCTATGTCAAACCCATAGCTCTAACTGCTAGTTTATAAGAAATACATGGGACAAGACAGCATGCTAAATAACACCACAGCATCATGATCAGCTAAACCCAGAATGCAGAAACTCTACAGAACCAACAACCTACTTCAGCAAATAAATTGCAAAGAGAAGAAGAGAGGGAAAGAAGAGAAAGGAAGGTTGAAAGTGACTAAATATGACTGATAACAAGTATGGGGTTCCTTTTGGGGATGATGAAAATGTTCTAAAATAGACTGGTGATGGCCATACAACTCTCTGAATACACTAAAAACCGTTTAATTGCACACTTTAAATGGATGAACTGTATGGCAAGTGGATTACAGTTCAATAAATATCTAAATTGAGATTGAGAAATGAGAGAGGGAGAGATGAGAAAAAAAAAAAAAGAGACATATGAACTGTGGACCCTAGTCTGATTCTTATACAAATAAGCTTTAAAAAAGTCATGAGGATTGTGGATTATTGGATTATTTGATGCTATTAAGGAATTGTGGATTTTTTTAGATGTGATAATGTCATTAATGATTTTTTCCATTCCTTATATTTTAATGATAGAAATTAAAATATTTATTAATGAAATGATATCTGCGATTTGCCTCAAAATAATCTGAGGGCTGCAGGAGGCTGTAGATGAAACAATATTGGCATAGACTGGTAATTGTTGAAGCTAATTTATGGGTGCAGGAGTCTCATTAGACTATTCTGTACTACTTTTGAGTAAAAAATTGCATCAGGCAGATTTTCAGAGAAAGAGTCCCTTGGGCCCCACCCCTGGAAATTCTGGTTACTACAACATCAGAGGTAGGCAGGCAGTCCCATCTACATCTCCAGACCTTGGTGCTTTTCCAGAATGTAGACCAAGTGTTTCAACCCAGCTCCAGGTACTATCAGTTGATATTGCATGGTGCAACCTTCTTCACAATATTCCTTTAGGGATACCCTAATAGCCATACAGCTGAGCCTTGATTAAAAAAAAAAAAAACCCAGGGTGCCTGGGTGGCTCAGTCAATTAAGCATCTGACTCTTGATTTTGGTTCAATCAAGATCTCAGCATTCAGGAGTTCAAACCCTGCGTCAGGCTTGACTACTTTATACACTCACTAAAACCGCTAATCTAGGTACTAAGAGAAATTAGGTAGTCTCCTGCAGCAAATTGGGCTAGGCATATGAATATTAATAAAGTTAGAAGTAATTAAATAAAAACCATATATAACAAGCCCACAGCTAATAGCATATTCAGTAGTAAAAACGATGAAAAGCTGAAAGCTCTTGCTCTAAGATCAGGAACAAGGAGCTTTTACCACTGTTACTCAACATAGTAGTGGAAGTCCTAGCCAAGCAAGAAAAAGAACAAAATGAAAAGGCAGCCTATGAAATGGGAGAAAATATTTGAAAATTATATCTGATAAGGGGTTAATAACCAAAATATATTTTTAAAAACTCACACAACTCAATAACAATAAAACAATCTGATTTTTTTAAAAGGGCAGAGGAGGGGCGCCTGGGTGGCGCAGTCGGTTGAGCGTCCGACTTCAGCCAGGTCACGATCTCGCGGTCCGTGAGTTCGAGCCCCGCGTCAGGCTCTGGGCTGATGGCTCAGATCCTGGAGCCTGTTTCCGATTCTGTGTCTCCCTCTCTCTCTGCCCCTCCCCCGTTCATGCTCTGTCTCTCTCTGTCCCAAAAATAAATAAATGTTGAAAAAAAAATTTAAAAAAAAAATAAATAAAAGGGCAGAGGAACTGAATAGACATTTTTCCAGAGAAAAACCTACAGATGGCCAACTGATGCATGAAAAAGTTCTCAACATCAGTAATCATCAGGGAAATGCAAATCAAAAACACAGTGAGGTATCACCTCACATGTTAGAATGTTATCAGAAAGACAGAAGACAAGTGTTGGCAAGGATATGGAGAAAAGGAAACCCCTGTGCACCATTGGAATGTGAATTGGTGCACCCACTATAAACAACAGTTTGGTGGTTCTTCAAAAATTAATAATAGAAATATCCAGCAATCTCCCTTCTGGTTATCTATCCAAAGGAAATGAAACCATTATGTTGAAGACATATCTACACCCCCATGTTCATTGCAGCATTATTTATAATAGCCAAGATATGGAAACAACATGTCATCACTGGACGAATGGACAAAGATGTGGTATATATATATATGCGAAGATATAATATTCAGCCATGAAGAAGAAGGAAATCCTGCCCTTTATGACAACCTAGATGAACCCTGAAGGCATTATGCTAAGTGAAACAAGCCAGACAGAGAAAGATAGATACTACATCATATCACTTATATGGAGAATCTATAAAAGAATAAAATAAAGTCAAACCCATAGAAACAGAGAGAAGAAAAGTGATTGCTGTGAGCTGGTTGGGTGAAGATAGGTCAGTACAAAGTTTAAACTACAAGCCACATAAGGCCTCAGGATCTAATGTAAAACATGGTGACTGTAGTTGATTAACACGGTATTGTATAATTGAAATTAGCTAAGAGAATATTCTCAAATATTCTCACCCCCCCAAAAAAGATAAAAATACCTAATATGATGGGTGTGTTAATTAACTAGATGGGAAGAGTCCTTTCACAGTATATCAAATAACCATGATGAACACTTAAAAATTTTACAATTGTATATCAGTTATACCTCAAAAAAGCTGAAATTAAAAAAAAAAGAGGTGATGACTCCCACCCCTGGTGCCATCATCGCAGAAGTATGGCTTTGAGACCATAAGAAAAACTAGTTACACTCCAGCTAGCTAATGGATTTTCTTTCTCAAATCTTGCTGGCAAGGTTATAAAGTTCACTGGGTTCCCATAGGTAGATGTAGACAGTGTCTTCTCCTCCTTTCACAATTCAATAATAAGGTAAACATGTGAAAAGGGCTTTAAAGCTGTGAAGTGTCATGTATGTGTCGGTCATGAGAAGTTCCTGTTCCTGAGGTCCCAGGACAAAATCTCTTTTCCTTTATTCCTTCTGTCCTCCAGAGCCAACTCCCCTAAAACCTGGATGGACAAATTAGGAGCAAAAAAAAAAGCAGAAAGGCAGAGGCCCAAGGGACCCCATTAACAAGGGAAGATGCTGCCCAGGGGAGCCAGGTCAACCAGATGTAACAAACATGATGCTCACAGAGGATGGCCAGTGCATGTGTGTACAACCCCCTGAGCAAGCAACGTGTCTGTCCATTTCATGTTCCCCATCCTGAAGATCAGGCCAGGAACTAGGAGAGGCCCACAGGTCTTCCCCGTGCCCCCAATGCCCTCTTCTTAGTCCTGTCACTGCACTGCATGATAATGACACCTGTTCTGTCTGCTTCACAGCGAGTCCGAGCAGGTGGTGGACATGGCATTCCTGGGCACCCGGGCTGGCCTCCTCAGAAGCAGCTTATTTGTAGGCTCCGAGAAGGTCTCCGACAAGTGAGTCATGCTGGAGAGGGAGCGGGATCCCCGAAAGGTGTTCCTGTGGCATGTCGTCAGGCTGACTCTTGGAGTCCAGCAATGCAAGGAGGGTGGAAAGGTTATGGCTTGCAGATTGGGAGGGTCAGAAAAGTAACTCTTCCACCAGGTTTTAGATGCATCCTGGAGGTATCCCCAAGAAAGAAGGGACAGCAGCCCAGTCAGAGAAGAGAGTGGATGAGACTAAAGTTGGAAGGGTTAATCACTTCCATAAAGGGAAAACCAGAAGTTGTTTTTCCCACTGGGACCAGTGTCTATGTGACAAGCAAAATTATTTGGCTGTGTCCCCTTTTTTGTTAACAACTTACATATCCCCTAAACCGGGGGTATTTTCCCCCATCCCCACCCCAGGGACATTTGGCAATGTCTGCAGACATTTTTGGTTGTCACAGCTAGGGGATGGGGGCTTGCTACTGGCATCTAGTGGGCAGAGGCCAGGGATGCTGTTAAACATCCTCACAACAATTATTTGGCCTAAAATGTCAATAGTGCTGCTCTCAGCAAAGCCTACATTTTGGGAGACCAGGTTGCCAGGGTGTCCTCCCCACCAAATACTGAAGCAAGGGGAGGATGGGAGAACAGAGCCACCTGCCACTCCACAAACCACCAGACTCAAATAGGCAGAGGCCACCAGGCACTTGGAAGAGAACAGTGAGGAAGCACCTCACAGTCTCCCATCCACACATGGCTGCTCTCACTGAATCCAAGCACACTCGGCCGCAGAGTGCCATCTTTAAGCTTCTTGCAGGACTCTGACAGATCCATACTTGCTTGAAAGCTGAGGCCTTCTAGGAAAACAAAGTTGCTTCTCCCTCACCCACTTCCCCTCACTCCCAGAGAGGTGAACAGAGGAGAGCGCTGTCTCGCTAACCCTTTCCATGGCCCTGTCAGAGACACAGCAAATGACTCAATGGACCAAATCTGGTAGGTAAACTGTAGATTCACTCTAAGGCCTTGAGCAGTGTGGGGAAGTGACCTCCCCACACTTACTACCCCTCCTGCTCTCCACCCACTTGTATTTCCTCATCCGCTTACACTTCCACCCCCACACAGAAAATGACATCCATGTCATTGCTGGCCAAAGTTGGACAGGGTGAACCACACCTGGCAGTAGGAAGGGAATAAAAGCATCCTTCGTATTTCCCTAAATCCTCTCTGAAAGGCTTCTATGAATGGAAGAGGAAAATCTCAATACAGAGAGACCCTCCTGGCTTACAAACACAGCCACCACAAATGGTGGGCACCATGCAACTCCAGAGGTCTCCTTTCACCTAGACCATGATACACCTGGCCGCTCAGGAATTGTGCAGGAGAGCTTCTTTTGAATATGTAAGCCAAGCACTCTTAAAATCAAACTTCAATTATCCACCTTGTGGTTTATCCACAGTGTCTTTTTTAATCCACAAACCAGCTTTTCTCCCTGCCTCCCACTCTGCTTCTGGACCAACACTCCCTTCTGCTGGCTGCTGTGTGTTCAGGGAATGCAAAACCATAATTAGCAAGGTAAAGCTGTTCAAAAAAAAAAAAAAAAAAAAAAGATAACTCATAATGCATTCTAAACCCTGGAGGCAATGACTTTTGAAGTAACCATTTGGGGGGAATCTATGCCCTTCTATTAGTGCAGTGATAGAATTGACTATACGGTTTCCCCATTCAGACATGCTGATTAACCAGACAAAAGGAAATTAGGCTATATCCCAAAGAAATAAACCCTGCAGGCAAAGGAGTTTTCATTAAAAAAAAAAAAAAAAAAAAAAAAAAAAAAAAAAAAAAAAAAAAAAAAAAAAAAGGTGTTCTTTCACAATACAGGCTCTATAACTCCTCTACCTACTAATATGTCATCAGGTACAACAGCATTTGATTCTGGAAAAGGCAGGAATTGCTGGGGAACATTGTGTGGGGTAAAACTAGTTTAGGGGCTGTTTTCTACCTGCAACTCTACCAAGGCAGAGATGAATCTCTCTTCTTGGCCCAGCCAAGATGACCTTGTGTAAAAAGAAAGAGGGATGAACATATTCCCAGATTTAGGGGGAGGTACCAAATCTTTCTCCTTGCAGAAAGTTCCTGACTCCTGAGGATGAAGCCAGCATATTCACCATGGACCACTTCCCTCTGTGGTATCGACAGGCTGCTGAGCATCCTGCTGGCAGCTTTGTCTTCAATCTTCGATCAGCAGAGGCACCAGGTGATTGGCACCCCTGTGCTCCTGGGGCTGAGCTGGGACCAGGGCATGTCTCTTCCTGAGGCTTTTGGTGGGAAACAGGAGCAGACATGGAAAAGAATGTCCACACCTCGGGGTCCAACCTTCCCTCATGACACCTGTCAGCAACTTGGGAAAGCTTACTTATGCCTTATCACACAATTGGCCTCTACTCTGAATATAGGACAGATCATTTTATCTCCTCTCCAGCAGCCAAGGTTGGTCCCTAAAAATCCAGCATGGCACAAAGGAAGAAATTTGACCCAAAAGTCAAGAAGAGCTGGATTCTAGCCCAAAGTCCAAACAGGTGGATATTAGAAAAGTTTGTCTTTACCATTCTTCTATTTCTAAACATCTATTTTTGAAAATGTCTTAAACCACCCAGATGAAAGTAACAGACCTTATTCCATCAGAGGACTTCTGTACTTACCAAGTTCACTGCCCCATCGCACTTCTGCCCAGAGAAAGCAGCCTGGTCTCCACTCCGTTGGGGTCTCCCAGGAAGGGCAACATTGGGCTCCCTGTCTGCTCCTCAGGAACTCCCAGTAATAATTGGGTGCCTCCTGGCTGGTAGGCCACTGGGGGCTCAAAGGGTAGGAAGCGTGGCAACTAAGATTGGTCCCATGGACCAAGCTACCAAATCCCTACTCGTCCAAGGCCCAGGAAAGGTTTCAGAGCTGCAGGCACCCAACTCTCAACCCCCAGACCCCACTCTGAAAAATAGCCCAAGAAAAGTTAAGTGACTTTAACAGAACACCAAGAAAATTGCAAAATGTTTAGAACAGAAAGGGACTTTGAAGGATGCAAGGCTTCACTTTCTTAATGTACACTCAAAAGATTCTATGGCCCAGAGAGGTTAAGGGACTCATCCAGGGGTCCAAGAGTCTGCAGCAGAGCAAGCTCTCCACCAGGTCACCTTGGGGGAAACTGACCCTAGCACAGTGGAGCAAGAGGGCCTAGAAATATCCATGTCCAGGTCAGAGTGCAAAGAGATAGAGAAAGAGAGGGAGGAGGGGGAGGAGAGGGAGGGAGAGAGGGAGGAGGAGAAAGAGAAGGGGGAGGAGGGGGAAAAGGGAAGGAGGGTGAAGGAGAGGAGGAGGAGAAGAAGGGGAAGAGAGAGGAGGATGAGAAAGAGGGGCAGGGGAAAGGAGAGAAGGAAGAGAAGGAGGGGAGGAGGGGAAGAGGGAGAGGTAGAGAACTCAGCTGAGTCCACCTGGAATGGAAATGTCCTTTCACCAAAACCCTCCAGCCACCACTTCCACCAAAACCATCCTCAGCTTCCTGATGGAGAAATTCCCTGAGCTGACAGCTGGGGAGACCCAGGAGGTCCCCCTCTATGTCCTTTTGACTCCTTCTTCACCTTGTGCCTAAGCTCACCTCTCCATCCCATGCCTGTTCCCCTCACTGAATGCAACACTAATAGGCTTTACAAAATGTTCTAGAGCATATAACTCATTTAATCTGCACAACTCTGTAAATGTTGTTATTCTCTTCTTGCACAGGAAAAATTTCAGGCTCAGAGGGTTCTGTGACTTGCCCAGGATCATGCAGCTAGAGAGCCACACAAGCCAGGCTAAACCCAAGTTCTACCCACCTTAAGTATAAGCCAGGAGGGGTTAGAGGAAGGGAGTCCCAGTGAAAGCTTACAGGGGAGGCTCACAAAGCCAAGGTGATGGTCCCCTCCCCACATTGCCCCCCCAGAGCCAGAAAGAGGCAGCTCTTTCTTCCTGTCGCCTTCTATAGCAGGATCAAGGGCTCCCCAAGGAGGGGCTCCCGCAAGGTCCTGGGGAGGTTCTCTAGAGTGAAGCTCTGGCCCCCCACCCCCAGTCCATGATGATGGCTCCCTCCTACCCGCATTGTCACTGGGCCCATGCCTGAAGGCTGCTGGGGTTGCTTTTTGTGGCGGTGAGGTAGGAGGGCGGTGGGTGGGGAACCAAGCCGCAAGGAGAAGAGAGGGAAGCTGGCAACCCAGAAGGGGGGACGGTTGAGTAGGGAGGCAGGAGCTTGCTCTCTTTTCACACCCTCGCTTGCTGCTTTAGCTCCTGCCTATGCTTAGAGACACGTGGACACCTCTGCACACTTCATTCTCCCCCAAGGGAAAAGACAACAACAGCTTCATTGTAATGGGGAGTGGGTACCCTGAGGAGGTGGAGGAGTCACCTCCAGGGTGAGTGGAGTCTTCGCTCTGCCTCTGCAGGCTGACTCTGTTGCCCTTTGCCTGAGGCCTGGTGGGCTGAGTTCTGCCCACACAGAGCCATCCTTTGCAACCAGTCCCTGAGAAATCTGCCAGCACAGAGCAGTCTCACCAATGCCCAGGTGCCTCAGGCTCATCACTCTTGCTTCTAGACATTTCTAGAGGCAAGGTGAGGAAGCTGACTTCTGTGTTTATTGTGGTTTTATCATGGCAAATTCCTTGGATCAAGGACAACGCTACATATTGTAAGTTGCTAGTATCAGAGTAATTTTGGGTTTCTGTGGGATATTTGATTATAGCAAGGTGCGATAGATGAGCTTAGCAAAAGAGATATGAGAAAACAGTGGTTAATTTAAGTTCTGCTATAGCAGACGATTTCCACATGAGCTTCTCATGACCTATTTGTTTCGAGCAACATTTGATATATAAAGACATTCTAACAAGATAGCACTTGATAAAATTTTTCCCCTTTCTTGGAATTTTTAGTAATGGAAATTGGCCTGTGGACAAGAATGCTTTGAAAAGCGAAGCCATGTCCCTGGACTGATGAAAATTAAAAAGCCTGAGGTCAGCTACTAGCCCATGTTTTGGAGCCAGAAAGCTCTGTTTTAATGTAGAGCTGAAACTGCCACGTGAATTTTGCACCTGTGGTGGCCAGATTCTCTTAGGAAAGGTGGGGGTAGCAGCTCAAGGCAAGCCCCTTGCCCTTCAAGAGCCCAACAGAGTGTCCCAGAAGCACACCAACCATCTGCAAAGCGAAAGACATGGCTTGATAACGGGGTGGTGGTGGCAGGTTGGCCACCAATGACCAGGATTTATGGAGTGCCTCAGAGGTGTCAGGCACTAGCCAGCCTTCTGTGCCTGGTACAGCCCTGGCATCCGGCCTCCAGAAGGGCTGGCTGCCAGTGTCACCCTGACTCATGTGACTGTTGAAGGACAACCCAGGATCAGCCACTGCCGAGTCCTGGAACGCAGCCTGTCCTTCTGCTAGAAAGAATCATTTGACACAAGGCAAGTCTTCTGAGTGGAGCATGTGCTGAGAGGGTCACAGCAGTGTCCCTGAGCTCAAGCAAGTCAACAACCAGCAGACAGTTGCTGCCCTGAGACAGAGCAAACTCACAGTGTCCTTGTGACGTGGACAATACTGCATTGTCCAAGTGGGCAGGGGCTGTGGTGTATTTATCTGTCAGGTTCAGATCTGCACAGGAGGGGCAGTGCCTGACACTCAGGAGGCGCTCTGCAAAGATGAGTGGTTGATGGTAACAGAGCCACCATGGCAACAACTTCCCCAAACACTGCCCCGTTCGCCCCAACTTATTCAAGGAATGCCCTCACCTGGTATTTATGTTGTCTTTTCAGCCTACCCAATCACTACCCAACAACAGGCTCTTCCTCAGGTACTGAGAACTTGACTTAGCAATTTTTGTTTCCCCAGAAAGTCCAGGCCAGCCAATGGTAGTAACAGCGAGCACTGCTGTGGCCGTGACGGTGGACAAGAAGACAGCTATCGCTGCAGGTAGGAGCTGCCTTTGCGCCACCATGGTCGAGGAGCTGTGAGTCAATGTCAAGAATAAGGCACACAGTAATAGCAAGAGGACCCTACCTATGGTCTGCAAGTGACACAGCCCTCAGGCCATAAGTTTTCCCAAGTGAAATGTGGGACTAAGGGAGAAAGGAGTCTTCCCAAGCCATTTTGGTTATAAAACCATAAAATCTTAGATCCAAAAGAGTTTAGGAATTAAAATGAAGTTCAGACAGGTTAAGAGATCTGCTCCAGGTTGCACAGGACAGAGACTGCAACCCAGACCTCCTCACCACCCCTCTCTGCTACTTCCCGCTTCCATCACCTTGGGTCTAGCATCCTTCTGTGGAGAGAGCTGGGCCTGTGAATGAGACCCTAAAGTAAGAGCCCAGGACGCATGCTCAATATGTGCCAGGCACCTCGGAAACTGCTTCCTGGGTGCATCTCCTTCAGCCTTCAGGGTGATCCAATGAAGCCGATACTTTTGGCTCCATTTTACAGATAAAGAAACTGAGACATAGAAAAATTATTTGCCCAAAGTCACCTAGCTAATAATTAATGAAGCTAGAATTTGAACTCAGGTTGCCTCTCTTTAAGCCCCAGCTTCCTACCCCATGTTGCCATTTGCCACAAATGTGATGAGAGTACCCAATGACCCTCCCACACTGCCCTGACTTGGTAGTTTCTTGGTATCTAAAAGAGTCCTTTGCATGGGTGCCTCCTTGCCTGAGTGCCGTCAGGCCTGTGTGGTGAAGCCCGCAGCCCTCAATATAAATCCTCGCTTCGGTTTCCATGTCTCAGAGCCAGCTGTGTTCTGCAAAGCTGTGCAATCCAGTGGGCAGTCAAGCATCAGCCACCACAGGTCCTGTCCTGCCTCACCAGGGGCCCGGAGCCATGTGAAAGGGCTCCAGCAGCTAGAGCAGGCAGGGGCAGGCAGGGGTGGTGCGCCTTGTCCCTCAAAGCTGGATTCAGGGCAAAAGAGGTGGGAGGAGCCGGCTAGGGTCTGGCAGAGATTGTCCAAGCCTGTCTTACTGCCTGAGGAAACACCAGCACCACTGCTGGCCTTCAGGATGTACCGCTACAGCATTTGGAAGGGGCCATCTCAGCCACCTTTTTAAACTCAGGCCACAGTGTGCTAACTCCAGACCCATTTCTAGGCCAAAACTGGACCTGAACTTGTCTCCCTAAAGACTATTCTGTGGTCCCAGCTGAAATCTGTGCCTGTCCTGCTCCCTGTGATATGGACCTTCTAGCTCCTGCTAGACTTGAGAGTCTAGAAACCAGAGGGGACAGGGGTCAGGCTGCCGGCTGCATTCTCCTGCACTCTCCAATCATTTGGTATCATTTTTAACTCAGAGCTGAATCAGAGCCTCCAGGGGTTGCCATAGAAACTGTGTCCTGGTGCCTCCGGTTTAACTCACTGCAGACAATGGCTCTGACGCTCTGGGATGCATGGATGTGATAGGAAAAGAGTGAGGCACTGGAGACCTTATACTTCAACTTTTTGGGGAGTGTCTCCTTTTGCAATTTCCCTTCCATGGCAAATGGCTCAACCTCCCTGATACTGGGGCCAGAGGAGGCCAATAGTTGAAAGCAGAGTAGGCAGCTTATTTGCTATCCTGACAGTTTCATCCCTTGGAAATAAGTGGCACCATGTGCATGTGAGCTGCAGGACCAGGTGAGCAAGGTGGCTGCCGGGCGGGCTGCATGTGTGATTTTGCACACTGAGCAAAGGGAGAAGGTAGGAGACAGGTACTCAGACCAGCTATGGAGACCGGCTACATGCCAGATGTATGCATAATAACACGGGTTCACACAGAAGGGCAGATGAATAAAGAGGGATCATTTTGATCTTAAGCAGGTGGTTTATCAACTGTTTATGCAGAAGTTCTAGGAATCTTTTTGATCAGGATCCAGTTTCGATTTCCCATGCCCTCCAGACCTACTTGGAGAATATTGCCCAGCATAATGATGGTGGCACCATAAATTGCAAGTGTGTTTCTCTAGCACGTGTCCTGTAGTACACACATGCCCCTGCCTAGAGGCCTTTAGCGACGAGCCTGCTGTCTGGAGCCGCACGAGGTCTCCTCCACTTACTCTGCCTACATGCAAATAGGCCTAGCTGTCAGACCTGTGTGTGTACATGCACAGCAGTGACGTGCATGACACACCTATGCATTCCCCAGGCCTGTGTCAGGCTGCTGAGGGACCTTGGTCTCTGCTTCTGCAGCAGGGCTTGGGGAGTACTGTCTGTTGGGTCTGATACACCTGCTAGGCTTCAGGAGGCAGCACCCCACAATTATCACTGCCTCTGAAAAGCAAACAGCCCGGCTCTGCTGAGAGTCCAGCTGAATGCCAGGAAGGGGCCTGGATGGCTCACTTCTCCCTAGGGCTTGCTCCTGGCTCGCTGGGATATCATCCAAAGGAAAGCTCCTAGGAAGGAGAAAATTCGGTCTTGGTCTCTGATGACTAATGACCATAGAGCCCAGGCCCAATTAGCCAGAGGCCGGTCCAGGCCGGGAGATGAGTCACTCCAGCTTGGGATGGATGAACAACCCCAGAGATCTGGCCCTCTGGCTCATCTCCCCTCCCGGTCTCCCAGCCCCAGCCTCCAGTTTATAATTCTGGTCCCGTCCCACCACTGAACCTGCTCAGTCCTGTGGAAGATCATATTTGTAAGCTCAGAGTGTCATCTGCCTGTCCCTAAAGTCAGTCTTGAAGGTGCAAGAGGATAATAGTTTAAAAGGGATTCCTCTTTCACGTTAGCAACACCCCCAATCTCACCAAAGCTGATAAAACCTAACCAATAGCTCTTGGAGAGCCCTGCCCCTGCCTCCCATCACACAGTGGTGTCCTCTGGGCAAATGCATGCCTTCCTACCACATCCACTCATCTGTCCTTGACTGTCACAGTGGATGAGCACACAAAGGGCTCGGAGCAGTGACAGGTCTCCAGCTGACCTTCACTGCCCAGTGCTACATGGAGACCCAACCTGAGGCTCACGTACCCATACTGTGAGGCCAGCACATGGGTGACTTGTCACACTCGGCTACAGAACCCGTTCTAACCCAGGACTCAGCCCTCCACATCTCTCCTGGCAGTGCCCCAAGGCATTCCCTCAGGCAGGAGTTTCCTGTCTGTCTTATGGAGGTCTGGACACTGGGGTGACATCCTGAAGCAATTTTGCAGCTGCCTGGGGAGGTCAGGGCACAGGAAGCCACTCTCCCAGCACCTACATGCCCTCCCCACCCAAGGAAACCAGGAGGTACGTAGGAAAATACAGTCTTTATTGTTCTTCTGAAACAACAAACCAGAAATATAATTTTGCCTTTAAAAATCTTCTGTCTCTGGCTGAAGGTACCACCATTGACAACACCCACCCCTCCCCTCTCTTTCCCTTAGAAAATGCCTAGATCTGGTATTAGCTGGAAAGAAGGAAGACTGTGCCCCTAGCCTCAGGAGACATGTTTAGCAGCCTGCTAAGCAGCATTCCCTGCCTTCCCCCACAACATCCTTCACCTACCATGGTCCTCTATGAGGTGGAAGGATCGAGGGGTGCAAGGCAAGGTGGACATGCCCTGTCCTTCCCTGTTCCTCTTCAGACCCTTGACCTCAGTGTTCCAGTGGTATCTTCCCAGGCCACCACCAAGACTCCTGTCTTGGAGCCAGAAACCAGCCTGATGCCTCCCGACCCTCCAAAAGCCTTGGAAAACTTGTGTCCAGCAGAGGGAGACCTAGTACTCATCTGAGATCAGACTTGCAGGAGGGCACAAACCTACAAGAGGGGACTAGTGACCCCCAAACCCCATACAGCCATCTTCTCACCTGCCGCCCCTTTTGTGTAGGCTGCTAGTAACAAACAGGCCCCCTGGCCCATGCTCTGGTTTGGAACCCAGTCCAGGTGCAATTAAAACCTCCAGAAAGCCAGACTGAGCACATAAAACCCTGGGAAAGGGACCCCACAACTGAGGCTTCTGAGCAGAATGTGGCAGCCCTCTCTCTGCCCCTGGGGTCTGCTTGGAATATGCTGGCAGGCAGTGAGCTTTGGTGAGGGCCACCTGCTTTCCCAAGATGCCACCAATCATGACCCAGTCCCCGCCCCAAGGTCCCAGGCCTAGAGCTGCTTAAGATGGAGGGGTGAGGGGTACAGAGCAATGGTTCTTGGGCTGCAGACTATAGGAGTGGAACTGGTGGGTGTCCCCATGGGGCCTGGCAGTGATGATGTCCTTAGCGCTGAAGAAATGCCCAGTGGTGTATGTGCCTGGGCTCCCGGGAGGCTGCCATCCACACATGCTGTAGCTTCAAGGCCTCTGGGCCGGTGTCCCTGGAAAACCCAGCAGGAGAGGTGTGAGAGGGTTACCATGGTGACAGGCAGTCTCATCCAGCAGCACCACTTTGGCCCACTTCAGAGAATCTCAAAGGAAGCCTTGTGTTGTCAGTGTGTGCTTCTCCCCCTGTTGACTTGAGAAGATTGCGGTGAGCAAGCAAAAGGTTCTGTGGCCTGAGGGCTAGAGATCCAAGGGGAAACATGTCTCTACTGCCCAAGTTCTCATGACCTGTGTCCATGTGATTCTGTGTGTGTATGTGTGTGAGAGAGAGAGAGAGAGAAAGAGGGAGAAAGAGACAAACAGACAAGACAGAGACCAAGAAAGAGAGAGATTTCCAATAGATATAATTGCGCTGGTGATGCTGAGTGTGTGTGAGAATGGATAAGTGAATCCAGGAGCAATGCAGTTGGTGTGGCCTATAGCAGATAGAGAGACCTAATGGCTTCAGCAGAGGGGGTGTGTTATAATCATGTTTCTTAGAGCTGGGTCCAGATGCCATGGCTGGTGTGATTGTACATTAGTACTAGCAGTTGAAAGCTGGACCCAACTCCGACACTAAGGGCAGCTGAAAATATATTCCTGGCTTAGAAGAGGGTCACAGAAGTTGACCCTTGGCCCCCCTATCACTTCCTCCCCACCCCTAATGCAGATGAGGTGCTATGAGCAGGAGGTAGGGAGAGTCACCCAGTCTACAGCCAGGGCAGGAAGGGCAACAGGGGAACACTGAGTCCAGAAGCCTCCACTTGCACACATATCATTTCTTCCCTATGGCCAGAAGCTTAGGGAGATCCCCCAGGTGTTCCAGAGACTTGGTGGCTCAGAAAGGAGCATGAGCAGGAGCCTTTAGCACAAGGGTGGCTTCCGCAGAGACTTGGAAGTTCATGGAGACAGCCGCACTGTGGCTTGTTTGCTGGAGGGATGGGGAGGAGAGGGGAGGGGGGGCTATGGTGGAGGGAAGGGCAAGCCCTTACTGAAGCAATCCCCAGCGTGCTCTCCCAGCCCATCCTACCTAGGCCAAGTGGGGCTGGGCTCTCACGCCACAGAAGAGATCTGCTTCTGGTCTTCATGCTCACCCTCCGGGTCCCCCATTAGGGGCTGCCTCTTCTTGAGCTCCCGGTGGTACTTGGCCATAAGGGAGGCATAGATGCAGCCATAGGCAGCAGCCACCACCATCATGATGCAGACAATGCCACAGACAACCCCCGCGATGATCACCGTGCCGATGGCCCGCCTCACGCTCACCGGCCGATACCTCTGCTTCTGGGGGCAAGCAGTGCTGGGCTCGGGCTCGGGCTCAGCCCCTGGCTTGGGTTTAGCAGGTTCAGGGCTTGCCTTGGTACAGGGTGGCCCAGGAATATCCAGCCCAGCTGAGCTATTCTCATCCTCCAGCTGGGAGCAGTAGTTGAACATCTCCATGGGGACCACACGCATGTCCTTCCCCCTCAGTTCCTTAGGTAGGGTGCAGGCAAGCTGGTCCAGGCGCCCCCCTGCATCCAGGGAGAAAAAAAGGAGGAGATGACGAGACATGCAGAACCTGGACTCCCTCTCCCCATCCCCAGAAAGCCCAGAAGGTCTAGTTTCTATCAGGAATGCAGTCAGTCCTGAAATCACATCAATAGGAGAGGAAGAGAGAAGAAAAACTAGCATTTATTAAGCCAAGTATCATGATAGGTGAGGTACATATATCATGTCATTTCATCTACACAGAAGCCATATGAAATGGATATTACCATTATTCCCATTTTAGAGCAGCACACAACCATTTCAGTCAAGCCTGCTCCCTCCAGTGTCAAACTGATGCACAAGAGTAAGGCAATGCTTATATATGGAGGTACTCAGGGAAGAGTTGACAATGCAAAGATAGAGCCAAGAACCCTGCCCAGGCTATAATTCTTCTCTTCTCCTTGCCCCTGAATCTGCCCGTTCACTATCTGTAAACCCAGGGCACTGTTCTCCACAGTATCTAATTACTCCAGAGCTCCTCCCTCTCACAAACAGGACAAGTTAAAGCCACTGTCACAGTGACCACGCTTCCATGCAGAACCTTTTGGTTGCCCAAGACCACCTATTTGGAGAAAAAAGGTCGGGTGATAATGTTTTCCTCTTCCTTTTTAAGAGCAACTATAACCCCTTAGCACCCCAACCACAGCATCTCTGAGTGAAGCAGCATCTTGAAAGGAAATCCTGAAAACCCATGAGGGCAAAGGAGAGGGGGCCAGTGCTAATGAGGGGGTGTGGGCAGCAATAGGGGCATGGGCTAATCACAACAATAGTGATAGCCACACAATGGTGAAGTCATGAGGGCATGTAGATGAAGAACATGGGTGGGGTAAGAGAGAAAGTAGCTGAGGAGAATCCCCTAGGATGTCAAAGTCAGGTTTTGGCATTCTATCCACTTCCAGGCAAGGGACACCCCCCCCCCTTCTAAATGGCCCCTGCTAAATGTGCTCCTGCCAGTCCATCACTCCCAGGTCCATCTCCCAGCACAGCTGCTGCAAGCCTCCTCATACAACAGATATGCTTCTCCTGGGATGCTGATGAAAACACCCTGGGATTTTTTTTTAAAGAAATGCAAGGTTGAAAACAACTGTACTATTGAAATTTCCAAAAATATATATTCCCATTCCATGCCCTTTTGTGCTGAGAATTTAGTTCCTGATGACTATATGAAAGGACAAGGACATTCCCTTGGGATAACACATGGGTCTGAAGACACCTGGTTTCTAGTTCCCCTATGCCACTGACTGCCTGGGTGACCTATGGCAGGTCTCACATCCAGTGAAATGTGTCCAAGAGCCACCTCTGTACAGGCAGGAACTGGGTGCTGAGATGGGGACAACCTCACCTTCCTGCTCCAAAACCTGAGGTTGAATCATCTTGCACAAATTATTTAATTTAATTGCATTTGAGTCTTGTTTTCTTGGCCATAAAATAAGAACAGCTAACTCACTTAACTGCTATAGGGATTAAACAGATAATGTACATGAAAAAATATTTGTAAACTGGAAGCTATATTAATTATTATTTCCCAACTCACAAAAATGGGAGAAATTATCATAGTGACTAACATTTTATGGCACTTTACAGTTTGTAAAATTTTTTAATTAACTAACACATGAGAATATCACCCAAATAATTGAGATGGTGGCTGGATATGAAACAAAAGGAGTAAGACTGAGGAAAAGCATTAACACTCTTCATACTGATTCACTCATTCAGCAAATATTCATGGAGCATCTACTTTGTGCTGGGCACAAATTATGTCTTATTAAGTCCATTTGCTATTATGGATATTACTAACAAATGAACAAATAAGTGAATAGGTTTCATGGAGGACTTACTTTATGCTAAGTACTTGTCAAGACACTTTTTGTGCATTACTATTTAATCCTCACAATGATTCTATGAGATAGGTGTTATTTGCCCCATTTTACAGATGAGAACACTACCACAAAGAGGTTTCTCAGGATCCCACAGCTAGTAAGTGAGTGACAGGGCCACACATCAAACCCAGATCTAGCACTTTTAACCATTATGCTCACTTCTTTGCCCTCCTTTTCCATTCCATTTTATAGTCATTCTAGAACTTTCCCAGGTTAACAAAAAGGGGAAGGGAAAAGAGTAAAACTAAAGATAGGTGGGGGCACCTGGGTGGCCCAGTCAGTTGAGCATCTGATTTCTGCTCAGGTCATGATCTCGCAGTTTGTGAGTTTGAGCCCCGCATTGGGTTCTGTGCTGACTTCTCAGAGTCTGGAGCCTGCTTCAGATTCTGTGTCTCCTTCTCCCACTGGCTCCTCCCCCACCTGCACTCTCTCTCTCTCTCTCTCTCTCTCTCTCTCTCTCTCAGAGATAAATAAACATTAAAAAAACCTAAAGACAGTTGGCTTATTAAAAGCTTTGAATATAAAACTTCTTGAGACAGAGAGTTGAGATCATCATCAAAGTGAAAATTTGGTTTTATCTGTGGATTTAAATTCCACACTCCTGAAACTGTAGATATTTAAGAAGGTATTGTATTATTCAGAAGAGCAAGGGTGTTTTTTCTTCCTCCTATCATGCCGGGGAAGCCCAGAGGCATACCTGGTGGGATGCAGAGAAAAATTATACTGAGTCTTTAAGTTGCCTCATGAAACCTACGGAAGTGAGATCAAGTTACAGTGAGTCAGTCTAAAAGAAAAAGAACAGGAAGGAGGCTGGGAGCTGGGAGGGGTACACAGGGAAGAAAGCGTATCAGTAGAACAGGAGGGAAAGCAGCACGGGCCTCTCAGCCCTGCTGATGATTTGGAACCGAGGCTGAGACTCTTCCAGCCAGCCCTGCTGGTAGAGAGGTAGGACCACCCCCTTCTCCCTGGACCTCAGCCCTGAGTCAGCGCTCAGCCTCCAGGAAGTATGTTGGGCCAGGGGGTGACCCTCCCAATTCCTCACACCCAGGCAGGACTAGCTGTGCTTACCTCGGTAGGAAAACCACTCCATCCAGTGCTTGAAATCACGTAGGTTACAGTCGCATTCCCAGGGATTGTCCCCAACCTGCAGCAGCTGCAGGCTTGCGAGGGGTTCAAATGTCAGCCGGTCCAGGTTCTGCAGACGGTTGGAGCGAAGTGATAGGGAGCGCAGAGCCGGGAGTCCATCGAAAAGGCCAGGGGGCAGCTGGGCCAGGCCGTTGATGGACAGGTCCAGGTGGCGAAGCAGGGGCGAGTGCTGCAGCAGGTCCCTGTCCAGGGTCCTGATGCTGTTATTGCGCAGCTGCAGCTCTGTAAGATTCGTCAGGTCCCGGAAAATGGAACGGGGCAGCTGGTCCAGGAAGTTGTTGGATAGGTCCAGCCGCTGCAGGCTGGACAGATTGGCGAATGCCCAGCTAGGCAGGGCACTCAGCTTATTGTTCAAGAGTAAGAGGGTTCGGGTGGCAGCGGGCAAGTCCGGGGGCACCATGGTGAGGCCTAAGCCACTGCAGTCCACCTCCAGGCTGCGGCTGTCACACTTACAGGAGAAGGGGCAGGCGGGGAGGGCCTCCACAGCATACAGGGTGATCCAGCAGGTGATCCCTGGAGGGGAAGAGAACAAAGAGGTGGAAAGAAAGCAACAGGCTGGGGGTTATCACCTCCTGCTTCTATGCCCTCCTTTCTAATTTGTATCATAATGGCCTCTTGACTTTATCTGTTTTTGGCCCAAGCCACAGTCAATACACAAACCTTTACTGACCACATAAAAAGATAATTAACAAACCCAAAGCAGGTCTATATTATTGGACATCACACAGTGTCAGTAGGGCTTCTTGCCTCCCAGCATATCTGGCAAAAGAATCCCTTTAGTGGAGTACAGTCCTGCAGAATGGCAGACCTGAGTCCAGAAGACAAGCAATGTTGTTCCACAAAAATGTCCCAGCTTGCAGGGCCTCCCATGGTTGATCTTCTTGGGAGTTTGGGCCCACTGACACCATAGATGTTGACAAAATAAAGGATCTAGTAGTCAAAGAAGCCTCCTCCCTTGTTCCTCTCCCAGTGTCACAGAGAAGGATTCTCTTTCCAAAAGAAAATGGCCACACTACTGCTTCCTTCTCCTCTGTACCCCCACCCCAACTTGGAGCTGTACTAGGCTAAGACATGCCATGCATGGAAGCATGAAGACCAGAAGCTTGAGCCCATCTACAGTCCCACTCCAGAGACCACTGTGGAAATGATGAGGATAAGATGCACAATTCCACTTCCATGCTGAGGAAGAGTTGGGCACAAGCCACTTCACACCATAGGTCCAGAAGTTTCCTATTTATTCTCATTCTAAAACCTGCCATGAACTTAGGCTGGGTTCCTGTTCCTAAGGGCTACAGAATGGACCCATTAACAACATTCCATTAGTGGTCCTATGTTTTGCCCAGGACCCCTCTGAGTAAGCTCAGAGCCTAGTCTGGGGAAGGGCTGGGGGGTGGGAGAGGGGCCTAAAAGAACAATCACAACAGAGCAGTTCATCCTATTGCCCAGCAGCCCTTTTTCAGAGTGACTGCGAAAGTTAAGTGTCTTCCTGAGTATCAGAGAAGCTTGCTCACTGTGAAAGAGTTTTCTCTTTCTCATCCCTGGGATGAGCTCAAAATAGTTCAACTTCACTAAGTCAGCACCCGGTCTGGCAAATTACTGGCCCCATCTTGGATGTGGGATTCATGCAGATCTGACAGCACGTGGGAGGCTGTAGAGGGCCAGGGGTGGGAGTGCCCTTTTGTGCTCTCTCTCTTCCGTTCATGGCATGTCTTAGGCTAGTGCAGCTCCAGGTGTGGGGGTGCAGAAGGGAAGGGAGAAGTAGTGTGGCCATTTTCTTTTGGAAAGAGAAGCCCAGAGGAAAGACCCTAGCCAGGGAAGTGGCAGAGAAGTTCAGACCCAGTTCGTGGCCCAGGTGGCCCCACCCAGACAGGCAGCAGCCATCCTGACTTGAGTGCCTGAATGAATCTGTGTCTGGTAGATGTCCGACTGTCTGGTGTCCTCAAGAGCAGAGCTTGAAGGAACAGTAGGGGACTGTCCTGCCCCTCCACATACACACACACACACACACACACACACACACACACACACACACACACCTGCAGGGTCACTGACAGCTGAGAAGCAGACTGCAAGGCTGACACCTGAGCCTCTTCATTCTCAGGGGGAAATGAGCACAGTCATGGCCATGGGAGCCAACTGGTGACCCTCCCTGGCCACATGTGGACACCTGCTGCTACCTGTCACCCTCTTACCCCTCTGAGCCCATCTGCTGCCAGGTCAGCCTGCCCCCACACTACCCCCACTATGCCATTTGAAAATCAACATTCTTCAGACTTTACTTTCCACAGGAAAAAATTCAATCCATCCAGCTTCCCTCTCAAAAGGATCAACATAACCAGAAGCCATTATTCTCCCCCCCTGAGAAATTCAGGGTGACATAAAAGCTCTGGTGACAAGAAAACATAATCCTGTATTGCAAGGTGTTGAATGATTCCAGAATGAGGTTGAAAGGGGATCTGAGCAGCTCGGGGATCAGCCATTCTCACATGATGAATAATTCAGGCTGCTTATGTAGTGGGGCAACCACATCACAGGACTGACCTTACGAGGGGAGAAGTCAGGCAGAATAATGTCTTTTAGGACTATGTCTTACCTCTTAACCACACAGCCTTGGGCAAACAAGTCCTTACAGACCTCAGCCCTCTCCCTCATGTGACGAGAATTCTCAGGGCTTCTTTCAACCTGACAACTTAAAGCCTTTCTTATGGGAAATGGACGCCTCAGTCTCCTCAGAAGGAGGGGTGGGACCCAACCTGTAAGGTCCTTCCAACACCACGACCCAGGAGCTCTCTAGCTCCCTCCATTTCAGAGCTGGGAAGTCTGAGGCAGAAGAGAAGTCTCCAGGCTCACCCAGCCAATGAAAGAAAAGAGGGAGACTCGCCATTAGAACAAAAGGACTCTCCTAAACTGGACTTCTGGGCACAGGAACAGACTCACCTAGGAAAACAAGTTCACCCATCATGGCCTCCAGCTCCCAATTTAACCACTAAAGCTCTCAGCGTCGATTCTTCCTTTGCCACAGATGCGTAGCATGGGCAAGATTTTAGAGGGCAACCTCTGGCCCCCAGAGCCCCCTGCAGCCTGGCATGCATCCCTGCATGCCAGGCTAGCCCCTGCCGCTTGCCCCCACCCCATGGTACTCACAGTAAATCTGCCTCCACAGCACGGCAAGCCCGGTCCTTTGCTCGGGGCCACTGTCCCGGGCCAGCATGGTGAATGCCACAGCTCTCAAGGCCCTGAACCTCTGGGGAGAGAGGAGCCTCTCGGTGTGTGCTGTCAGTCCTGAGAGAGAGAGAGAAAGAGAGTGGTGAGCAGGCACTCGAGGCCCCATTCCAGCCCAGGGGTTAGGGAGAGGGCCAGGTGTCTCTTTACACTCCTTGTCGTCCCCTCTCCTGTTCTTCTCAGCTCAGCTATGGTTCCCTGGGGGGTGGGGGTGGGATGGGTACGAGGGGCAGAGAAGCCAGGAATCTTTCCACTTCCCTGGGTGACTGGGGAGGCAAGGAGGGCAGGCTCCGGCCTTTGGCATAGCACTGGGCTCTGTGTGTGGGACTCTTCTGCATCCTCTCCCCTGTCTCTCTTGTTGTCTCTCTGGTGTGTTGATCTCTAAAATGTTTTGGAAACATTTTATGGTCTCCTTTGTGGGCTTTCCCCCATGTCACAGATGGGGAAATTGAGGGATCTGTCTACCAGGTAAGCAGAGTAAGCGCTGCTCTTACCATGGCCCCCGAGGAGGCAGAGTCTGCTGCTGAGTCAGGTGTGCAGCCTGGGCCTCGCTCTTGCTGCCGGATGGCCTCCTGCTTCCCCTCCACCTTTGCCTGAAAGGTGAGGTGCAGTGCTCTGTCTTCCGCCCGCTGGGCTATAATAAGACTCATCAGCTCAGGGAGTTCATGCAGCAGCTGTCTATGCAGGAGACAGGGGCAGGAAGGAGAAGAGGAGATTTTGGAGCACAGGGAGGGCTAGGACTGGCCCTGGGGCTGCAAGAAGGCAGGTTTCTCTCGCAGATGATGAAAGAGGGGTACTCACCCTGTCTAAGGTCTCAGGACCTGCCATGCCCCAACCCTATGGCTAATAAGAGGGACATGGACCCTCCTCTGGTCCTCATTTCCTTCCAGATATGGCTAAGGCCCTTAGACAGAGGCCAGAGCCTCCACTCTCCCAGCCCCAGCAGAGGAATGGGAGAGGAGACTGTGGTGGGCTGCCCTGCAGCAGGATGGGACAAGGTGGGGAAGGGGACAGAGGAAGGGAAGACCCTGCCCACAGCCCAGCCCCTCCGGCTCCCAAAGGGCACCGTCCTCTCAGCCCACTGCTTCTGGCTGGCTCCTCTGGTTTCCTGCTGCAGCCTTCCCTCTCCTCGCCCCCTCCCCTGCCCCCATCCTCCGGAGCCAGGGGCAGAGTTAAGCAGGCAGCTGAGGAGGTGGAATGGGCTGCTGGGAAGCTAATGCGTTCAGCTCTGAAGTCTCTGCACCCAGTGAAGCGAGTTTCCCTCAGGCATTTCAGGTCCTGCTGCAGCTCCTGGTGTCTCTCACTGCCTCTCCAGCTCCCACTCTTGAATCCAGCTGCCTCTGGTGACAAAACCCACATAAAACACAGCGACCCCTGCGAGAACTTCAGCTGTACTACCAGCAAGAGCATCCTGGTGTGTGGGGGTCTTGGCTTTGCCTTCCCCCCACCCCTCCACCGGGGGGGGGGGTTCCAGGTTGTACAGGCCTCCCAGAAGCTGGCAGAGACAGCCACAACAACTGGCCCCTGACATGGGGCGTGGGGAACAGCCAGGTTCCCCACACTGCCTCTTGGCTGAGGTGTGAAGAAGCCTAGAGCAGCTCAGGTATCTTCTCCAGCTGTTCTCTCAGGGCCAGGCCCCCATAGGCTCCTAGTTCGGAAGCCCAGGCAGGCAGGACTCCTAGTTTCCTTCTGGTCCACCACTCCCTAGCTGTGCAACCTTAAACAAACCCGTACACTCTCTGAGCTCCAATTATCTTATCTCTAAAAGTGGTGATCGTAATACTTCATGGGCGGAATCTCTGTGTGGATCCATTTAATTAAGGGAGGAGAGTTAGCATTTACTATATTTAGTACACATTACCTTAGGAGAGAATTCAGGCGAATGTGCCCAGCTTGGACTTGAGCCCATGATAGATGTGAGGAAACACCAGTTCCCTTCTTCTGTGGGTAGGGGAGAGCAGCTTGCAACAGCTCTAGGTAATGTCTCCTTCCTGGTCCCACCAACCTCACGCATGTGTTTACTTCTCTATTCCTGAGCAGATGGGCCATCACATGATGCTCATGGCCAGACACCCCACACACACAGGCTTCACAGACTTCCATTGCAGATGACAGTGTCCAGCCTCTCTGTGTCCCTCAGGCCCTGACCCTCAGAACGATCTGTTTCTCCAGCAAGAACCCTCACATCCAGAGCTCACAGCACCCACACAATATTAGGCAGCTTGGTGGCCATCCAAGGCACAGAGATGAGGACCAACTTGCTCAGGGTCACACGCTAGATCAGAGATAGGTCATGGGCTTCTGAGCCTGGCTGCTCATCCACTCCCTGGCAACTGTGGGGTCTTAAGGGAAGACACATATGTCAGGGCAGGGTGCACATAGGCTCCCAGACACGTGTGTGGAGCTTCCAACATAGCACCTGGTGCAAACACACACCCACAGAGAGCTGTGCAGTTAGGCACATGCTCACACACACACACACACATGCACACACGCGTGCACACACACATGCCCTGCCAGCAGCCCTCCAGCCCTCCTCTTCAGATGCCAACAGTCAGCACAGTGAGATGCCTGGCAGGTCCCAGAAGCCCCCAGCGGACAGATGTACAGGGGCACCTCCAGCCTAGAAGGGAGGTCTAAGGAAAACCCTGAAGGGCAACCTCTACCACAGGACTTTTTCTATACCCAGACCCACAAGGGTGCTGGAGACCCAATCCAGGCCTCCGCTCTGCTCTTTCCAGCTTTCTGCAAGGAGACAGGTGGCAGAGAATCCCTCTCACCCAAGCCCAGGCCCTATGTCCACCTGAACCTCCTCTCCTCTTTCAAGCAGGTTCTCCTTTTCCACCCCACTTACCCCTCCCTGACCTCAGTGTCACACCCATGGTGAGCCGAGGAGTTGACCAGCAAGCACCCATCAGTGGAGACAGTGGCCTGGAGCAGGTCCTGATGCCCCATCCCCAGACTTAGACAATGTCACCTATACAAGGCAAGTCAGGCAAGTTGCCACAATGCAGACCCATAGGCATCATCTTTCGAGGTGGCAGGGCACTGTTGACCCTAGTATCTCTGGAGATATGTGATGAAAACAAAATCCCCCAGGCCCATGGGTGGGGGATGGGGGCTTCACCTGTGCTCCCTAGGGAGCTGGCCCTGCCTCCGTGGGCACCATGGAAGTGACCTTTAGGGAGATTTGGGGCTAGAACCCAGCACTTCCTGGCTCCTTGGCCCTTTGCCCACAAGCACACCTCCAACCAAAGAAGCCCTTCCTACCCCCAGAAGTATCTAGCCTCATCAGGAAAGGGGATGACCTACATTAGGAGAGCAGCTGCTGCAGCAGGCGCTGGCCGGCTGCTGGAATAAATTTACACTGTCTGAGAGGGAAGTCCCACCCAGGATGGAGAATGAAGGACAGAAGAGAACAGGGAGGTCCTGCCAGAAAGATCTATCTCCAAGTCCTACAGCTTCCTGGCTCTGGATGCCAGACCTGCTCCTAATCATCATGGGACTCACTGTCCCAGTCCCAGAGACAGAGACACCAGAGAGAGGGGCTGGGCCCCAGCAGGAAACCCCTGCCTCCTTTGCCAGCCTGTGCTGAGAGAACCAGGATTGGAGGATGGGGCCAAGGAGCTACAAGCAATCAGACGGAGAACCCCTGAGAACCCTTTGCTACTCGGCATGGTCCATGGGCCTCACCTAGGCATTTCTTAGATGTGGAATCTCAAGTCCCACCCTGGTCCAAATGAATTAGAATCTGAATTTTAACAAGATCCCAAGCTTGAGAAGCACAAGACGAGATTGCTTCTCCCCCAGTAGGCCCTGGCACCTCCCAGGAGGCCATGCCAGTCAGTCTCTGGAAGCCAGGCCCCATCTCGGAAGCGCCAGTGACCTGGGCCGAGTGGGGAGGATACTGACACTGGCACCCCCTTCAAAAAGCCTCTGTATGGGAAGAAGCGGTGACCATAGCCACAAACGTCTGTGTATAGTGTCCTTGGTCCTCATAACAACTCTCTGAGGTTGGTATTACTTTTAACACCATTTTTGCAGATGGGGAAACTAAGGCAAAGGAAATTAAGTAATTTGCCTCTGGATAGGCCCTGGAAGAATGAATACAGCTTTGGGTTCAAGCAGTCTGGTGACAAAGCTACTAACTCAGCTGCCTTTATAGGCTTCTCGGTCTATTCTGTTCCTGGTCTGTTTACACACGGAGGTTCCGGGTATAAGAAGGAAAAGGCAGAAAAGGGAGACGCAACCTTTCACTTATACAGTACTTCACAGTTTACACAGCATTCCCTCACCCACTGTCTCACTGGATCTGAGGAGGCAGAGGTTTAATGCCCCTCCTCCTGATGAAGAAACAGGGTCTGTGAGGTCCTGGACTCAGACACAAGCCCGGTCTCCCCCTCCCAGCCCCTCCTTCCAGTAGCATCATAGATGTAGGGAGAAGCCCCAGGTGGCCAAGATCTTAGGAAAGGAAGGGAAGGGGGCTTTCTAGAAACCTTCCGGCAGAAGGTTGGGTGCTGAGGTGAGGAGGGTAGGCTGGGAGCTCCAGGGAAGCCAGGCGTGGAGGATAGTGATAGAATGAGAGGCAGCAATAAGAGCAGAAGGTTCCACGTGCTCCTGCTGAGCTGAGTGGGTGCAGCATCCCCTGGAAACTGGGAGTGGGGGCTGCTTCCCGGGTGGGGCACCTCACCTCAGCCCCCTGGGCAAGGAGCAGCCAGCCAGAGCCCCCAAATCCGAGTGCTCAGGTTAGGTCGGTGCAGAGCCATGGCCTCTCTGTGCTTCTGCCCCTTCAATTCCTCCTACAGACAGAGATAATCCTCCAAGTGGAGCTGCCTCAGACCCCAGCTAGAAATCTCCAGCACACCCACCAGCAGCCTGGTGTCCACACCCTTCCCCTGATGCCTCTGTCACGTCCATCTCCCCAAGTCAAGTGTCCAAACCATACAACTGCTTAATGCCTATTGTACCTCAACCCAGGGTTCCTGACTC